TATGCCTCCATTTTGGGGTAGGTGCACCACCCATTTTAGTCTATTTTAGTGGGGAATTGGATGTTCACTGGGGGTACAGGGTTTTGACCTACAGCCATGTGTGTGTCGAGCCTGTTCAAAGGCAAGTCTTGGTCCATGCTCACAATACCAAAGCATTCACCTTTTCCTCAGCACTATGGCATTGTGGCCGATTGGACTGGCTTTCTAGGCCTTTTTACACCCTCTTTCCAAGAATCATGCCAGCGGACAAAAACCTTTTCAACAGGATGCTTGTCTTCCAAAGCAATCCCGTTCACTTTCCTGAACAGAGAGACCATGTCGTGGTCGTTTTGCGTGTTGCACTGTTTAGCTGCTGTCAGGCTCTCCCCCCACCTCTGAAGCCTGGAAGGTCCAGATCAACGAAGCCGCATGCCGTGTTGGTTTTCTTTTCTCCTTTTGGCATAGTTGGACAAAGAAGGCCACCAACTCATGGTTGTTGTTGGGAAACATTTTGCAATTTTTGCTTATTGTGGTTTAGTGGGAAATCCCCACTTAACTGCTAACATTTAGATTTTTGCTCCCGTTCCAACGTCGACCAAGAACTTGCACCGCAGGTTTCTTTGGTTGAAGATTGATGGCACTGCTTCATTTGATTCCTAATAGTTTACAAGTGCCATCCAACATGGAAACCAGGACTTGCGCCCTGGTGTGATGCCAGCAATAGATATCAGCAGAACTTCCACGCACATTCCATGACAGGGCTGAAGTCCAATGAGGGCTGCACAGTCACAGACTCGGGGCCTTTTTGGGTTGCCTGCCACGCGTGTATGACTTTGACCTTTGCCCCGTCCTCTGTTTCGGCAAAGTCTGGGGTCCACCCCCCCTTTGAAGTTTGTTTCCTTGAATGCACTTTGAAGACGGGCAAACAGGGTTCTTAATATGTTTTTTCTCAAACATTTGGAATTCAGGCCCAACGACGCCTTATTGCTTGGAGGGCCTTTTGTTGTCTTTCTGGCTCTCAGCAGGGAATGAGTTGGAAAGACCCCGAAAAGAACAATCCCTTCTGGTTTGGGAATCCCTAAGTTCATTCCCAACACCCCGGGTCATTTTCTACTGAGCACCAGCAAGTTGTGGGTGCGGAATGCTTCCCCACTTGGGGGAGATCCTGTTGGCAAGCGTTCGCCAACGACAGGCTATCTGGGCACGGCTGCCCAGATGCAGTGCGAGCTATCCACAGACTTCACGGGGACGGCGCCCAACTGCATCTTGAAGGACTGACTTCGAAAACGGCATGGCTCCTTGCAGTCACCCCATTCGATTTTGCCCTGCCACCTTTCAAACTCTATCCACCAGAGGTGGGCAGGGAGAAGCGACGCCTTTGAAAAGTGCGGAACTCTTGCAAAATGCGGGCTGAAAGGAATCATGTTATTCATTGGTAGCATTTACTGGCAGCAAGATCTTCTTGCTCGAAATGCAACCTTCTCCGGGAGCGGGTTTAGGCGTTGTGTGGTTTGGTTTGGTTCGCTTCATGTGTCGGGGTGCAAAAGTAGAGATGGCTATGATAGTGTTTCAATGGACACCCCTCAAACATGATTGGCATCTGCAGAAGTGCAAGCAAGTGTTTCTGATGTTCACCAAAATGCCCCTATACAATCAGAATCCACAGCTGGATTTTCTGAGATACGATTGTAAGGGAATTAACTACCCCCCTACTCCAAGAACCTTTAAAGACAAAGGGTGCAAACGAAAAGCCCAGCCTGGCTTTGAACCTGTTGCTTGCCAAGCACACGGTTTTCCAGCCAAAAACCTGGTTTTACTGTTAAACAACAATACGCAATCCATACAAACCCGTACAAAACCCATACAAGACCCGTACGTTGTATGCTTTTCAGAAAACCGGGATTTCCCGCGAAGAACTTGGTTAGCTTTGATAGCCTTTAGAATCAAAGGTTCTTTTTGCCAGTGGCACCGTTTCCCCTTTTTGTTTGGGCTCGCAACCACGCAGGGGCAACCACCACTCGAAGAAATCGACGGTTTGGGTTCTAGGACAATTTTTCCAGAAACCGCCTGTGCCAAGCTTTGGCGTTCCTTGGGCGTTTTTTTTTGGGGGACGCCTTCGCGAGGACTGCCTGGTGCCCCCGTTCTGGAAGCAGGAGCCGAGTTTCAACACCACGTGCGGAGCTCGGGGAGCTAGGACGGACGTCCAAACAGGGCCACCGGGTTGCTCCAATTCCCAAAAAGAGCCCCGCACATGGTTTTCCTTTTGGTTTTCCTGCAAATCCAACCAGCCAGGGGTTCCCTAAAGAAGACACACCAGACACACCCAGGCAACCAAATCAGGGGTGGCTCCACTTTGAGTGGGAGAGTTGGACTTCCGTTGCTCCTGCAATGTTTCATGGCAGCGGAGAGAAGCTAGGTCCCCCAGTAGTGCCCTTCTCTCCCCTTTTGTGGGGGGGTTCCCCTACTAAATAGACTTGGGTACCCTTATTTTTGCCTCTCCACTGGAGGACCTAGGAAGATTGGTGAGACCAATACCCGCCAACTCTCAGGTTTGAAGCATGGCGCTGGGCCCCTCAAGAATATCCTTTTGGTCGAAGCTCCGAAAGCAGAGTTACCGGAACCGTGCAATCGATCTCGATTCGGAACACCACTTTGTGTTGTTGTTTGCCAGTGCCACCATCTATTTGCAAGGATACTGGATGAAGATAGCACGACCATGAAGCACAGGACTGCATGTTTTGCCTCAAATGGTGGTTGAGGGGGGTAGAACCACGGAACCGCCCGAGACGTGGAGACGTGGGTTCCCTATTTGAACATGCATTCATGCATGCATACGTACAATTCTTACTTACATGTTACAGCAGACTCTAATGTCCTGCATCCTGTGGTAGGCCCAAAATGGGATTCCTTTCATGGCTTGCACTCTGGGGGGGTACGGACACCAACAAGAGCCCAAGCGCAAAAGAAGCTTCCTCTTGAGCATGCAGCGAGACAGTACTGCTAATGGCTTACTCCATCGCTTCTAGTCTCTTCCGACAAACCTAAAGCGCTTGCCGGACCTCCACTGCCTTTCAAAAAAACATGCCCTTGTGTTTGCCTTCATGTTCCTCTTCAACCATCAAATGGCACCAGTGTTCACTTGGAGGGATCCGTGCCACAACCCATCCTTCAAGATCCTGAGGTGCGACGGTGCCAAGCACGGCAGTACCTGCATAGCTTCGTGCCAGCTGGGCTATTCAGGCTGGGTCTTTTGGGGACCCCGGAAAAAAAACAGGTCGAGGTCCGACTCGATAGATAAGTAAGCTTTCCTTTGGTTGGATAGGGCCATCGAGGCAAGTCAGGCCGCAATGAAGCATGAGCAATCCCCCCCTCTAAGTGGTGTACGGGAGCTGGTGGGGATTTCCATCAATGAAGAGAAGAATCCCTCTACATGTTCCCTTTGGTATGGGTGGTAATGTAGGGAGGTGATGGGAGGTGGACCCCACATTTGTTCAATGGGGGTAGTGGATATCAACGAGCAGGCAATTCTGCGTTTCCGCAGGCAAGTCAATGGATCCGAATAGGCAACTTGCCAAGGCATTGAGCCGGTTCTCCGATTTCTCCGCCCATCTCCTTTTGTTTGACCTGGCCCCCTGCGAGAACCGACTGTGCTGTCCTTTGAGATGAATCAGTTTGGTTGAAGCAGATGGTCCTATGTAGTCATTTACCAATGCCATCGAATCTTCCACAAGGGCACCTTTGCACTGAAGATCTCTCTGAAGATTCGGCTTCTGAAGCGAGTGGCAAGCCCACCACAATGGGATGAACAAGTAAACAACCAAGTGGGGCAATATCGGCAATAGCGGAGAGATGACTGTGCTTTGTGTGCTTTCTATTTGGAAAGCTTTGTGTTGCTTCTTTGAAACTGATTCAGAAGGCCTTGAGGTTGGCTGCTTCCAAAGGAAGGCGATGGAGCCTTGTGGTTCTCATGAAGCCCTCTTTGGATGGGGGCGGGGGTCTGTTACTTGCGGATATGTTCGGGACTTGTGGTTTTGCTTGCAACGGCAGATCCTTCTCTTGACAGGGAGGTGCTGGGTCCGGGTTGAATCAATCCTGAATTATGGTAGTGGTTTGGCCGCAGATTAGGATTGGGATGCACATGGATCCACTATTTTTCAATCACCAAATGTATATTTTGTTTTCTGAGAGTGCGAGCACCGGCCTGCAAGGAGTTTCCAGGGTGATTGCAACATGTAGTTCTTGACGGTTCTCAGCAATCCCCTCAGGTTTTGAGGCTTTTTTGGGTGTAGCGGGGGTTTTCTCTTTCACCCACTAAAAGTTAAACTTTTAGCAGGGATCAGTTTGGACGGCAAACTACTCTGAACGACGAGCAGCCCACCTGGTCCTTTGCAGGGGAAGCTCTCGCGACAGTTCGGGATTTATACAGTCGTATTTTGGTCCAGAAAGCCTGGCTTCATAAATCACAGGGGGGAATGAGAAGCAGTTTCCCATCAGAACCAACATTAGGCCCCCCCCCCCAGAAAGACTTCCAGAGCCCTTCAATCTTCAATCAGAAGGTTGTTTTTTGAAGCCGTCTCCCAACCATCGCAACCCAAGTCCCAAGTTCAGGTGATCACCTGCTTGCCTTTTTTTTTTTTGTGTCTCGCAGCTTTTACAAATCTCGGGCGGTTTTTGAAGAAGCCCAAGCAGAAAGTCAGCTAGAAACGGGCCATCGGCATCCAGGTGTGATCCATGATCCCCGGCCACCCCTTGACCCCTTGACTGCACGAGTCGTGAGGCCAGTCCCAGCAGTTCGCCTGCGACAACGGCCAGCTGCGGGGCCAGATCCCATCCTGCGCGCCCGGCAACCGTTGCTTTGCAAGAAAGCCCCGTGGAAACGGGGCTCTAACGGTTTTACCTGATTTCGTAGGTGTTTCTCTCTTTTTTCCTTTTTTTCCGCATCACGTCGTGCAGCATCAAGAAGTTCGCTGGTTGGCGGCCCAAGCCGCGGGAAAACCCGGGACCACCGACCGGTGAAGTGAACGGGCAAGTCGGCTGGCGATCGACCCTTTCAGGTTTGCGAATCTCAGGTAGCCTGGAAGCATCGGCCGTTCGATTTATTTCTTATCCCCACAAAGGAAACAGCGAGGGGGGATATGTTTGATTTGTGTGCTCTTGAACCGGGGTCTCAATATGTTTTTTTGTTTCCTTTCTCCTCAGCACTCGGCCCTGGAAGATTTGTTTGGTTTCTTTGGCAAACATTGCAGCGATATCGCGGAACGGCATAGGCACGGAGAATCGGAACCTGTCTACCCTTGCAGTGCAGAGATTTGAGAATCTGGTTGGGGCTCAGGTCATTTGCCTTCGCAAGTGATTGGCACCGATAGTCGGTGGAACATAACATAATGTTGACCCCAGATTAATAGACCCCTGTTTATTAATATGGTGTCCCTGGTTTAGTGGGAATTCAGACCACTTTGGAGGGGAACTTTCCTATATTAATAAACAGGGTTTATTAATCCGGGGTCAACATGAAAAAATCCTCGGAAGTCCGATTTCCATTTGAGGGGTCTCGCATTGCGCTGAGGGCCAGACCCATGCGGTCAATAACAGGTATATGGTTCATTGTTCTTTGCTTGTTCAGCGGCCCTAGTTTCCCGTGGCTTGTTTGGAATTCAAACTAAAAATCAAAACCCGCAGAAAGGGTTCTTGTCAATTATACCTTTGAAAGGTCTTCATCAATTTCGTCCAAAACCGAATCTATGGAAACCGTTTAGTTCCCACCGCTTGATCCAGGCATCCCTAGAAGCTTGCTTGTTTTTCCGAAAATGAGGCTAAGGGCTAAGGTACTGATTAGCTCGACTTTCTATTATGACACTTGCTGTTGAAACAAAACAACGCCTCAAACGTTTTTTTTTCTTCCTATGCCTATGGCAGGATTAACCGAACACTGCAAACTTGCCTTGACATTGTCCCTTTAACCAAAAAGTAACAATGCACAAAGGGACGCTGTACGGGTCCTTCTGTTGCGCATATCATGAAACAACGGGGAAGTTGTACTTTATGGAAGCGGAGCTGCGAAGATGCACACCTCAACCTATGTTATGAGTCATTCAACTCAAACAGTGACTTGTTTGTCTGAAAAGGCAGCTTCTCGCAAATAGGAGAATACAAACCTTGGACGATCCAGCTTAGCCAAAAAATGTTTTGTAGCACTCTGCAGCTCAAAATTTATCAGTTGTTGCCGCGCGCTGAGTGAGCTTCACCTTCGATAAGACATGTCGAATGACAGCTGGTAACATGGATTTTGGCTGCATTGGGACTACAACTCCATAATTGTCTTCGGTGCAATTTGCTGGTGTGTGTGTGTGTGTGCGTGGGTGGCTGCGTGCGTGCATGCGATATGCGTTGTCGGATCCGCTCCTCAATGTAGCATGGAATTGGGGGAGGGAGGGTGGCCCTTGGAATTAAATTCTACTCATTTCAACTTGCTGGTTCCCAGGGAGTTAGGCTCTTGGGAGTGAAGGGATGGAAGTCACCTTATGGCTTACTGACTCCAAAGCGAGTCGATGAGTAGAACTGACCTTTTGGATTCCCCTGTTTTTCCTGGGCCCCAGGTGATCAGCCGCAAAAACTCTCTTGGGTATCCGCGGCAACTGACTTCAGTGAAAGCCACACAATTGTTCGTTTTTCCCAAAAACCCCTCTGGGGTTGGGTTCTCGTTTCGTTGTCTAACCGCGAGGGAGCGAGGATCGGCAGGGGTTCGGCCTGAAGTGTACCATGTTTGCAGCATGCCGTGCAAACACCGCTGGCCGGGAAATGGCCGAACAGGCGGCCTGCCGGCTGAATTGCCGGCAAGAACGGGACCGGCCTCAAGTGCGCCGAGCTTTGCCGATTTGACCGCATACCGCAGGTGGTCGGGTTTTAAGAGACCCGAGTTTGCAGCATACCGTGCAAGCGCCGCTGGCGGGAAATGGCCGAATGAGCGGCTTGCCGGCTGAATTGCCGGGACGACCCTGACTGTCGGTGAGCGCGCCGGCTGAATTGCAACCAGCGCCGAGGTAACGGGAGGTGCTGGAGGCCGCGTGCGGCTTGCCGGCTGAATTGCCGGGACAACCTTGACTGTCAGTGACTGTGTCGGCTGAATTGCAACCAGCGCCGAGGATGGAGGTGACGGCGGCGTGTGCCGGTGGGGTTTGCTTCTGCGGATGCAACCAGCGCCGAGGTGACGGGAGGTGCTTGGGCCACAGAGGCGCAGCGATAACGAGGCGCGGTCGTTCGTGTGCCGGTGGGATTTGGCCCACAGAGGCGCAGCGATAACGAGGCGCAGTCGCTTGGTTGTCAGACAGCTGCAATGATTTCGGGCCTTTGTTTTCACCCGTGTGAATTTCATCCAACGCTGGCAAGATCGGGCAAGCCTGTTCGCGCCGCGCGCGCCGCGCTCGCGCGCGCGCCGCGCGGGCGCCCTTCGATGTGCTCAACATCACATGGAAAAGCGCGCGCGCGGCGCGAGCAGGCGCGCGCCCGGCGCGAGCAGGCCGCCGTCCCCTCTGAACCACCTTATAGCCCAAAAACATTGTAAGCAAATATGAAGGAGCAAGCCAGAATGTTGGTTTCCTTAATGACGAAGTGAACGTGCATGTTCGCATAAAGTGATGCCCTTCGGACAAGTGCTTGGGAGACGCCCCTTTGCCGAACACAACCCGCAAGAAGCTCCGAGAAAACGTGGCAAACCATGGCTTGTTGCAACGATGTAGTTTCGACTGCCGCGTCCTGGATTCGCATTTCTCTTGCTCTGGTCCGATGCTTGCAGCTCAGTGCAACGCTACCACCTAACAGCTTGTGCTGCTTGCGACCCAATTGTCCGTGGAGCCCTCAAGGGGCCATAGCAAAAAGGCATACTCCACGCAGCGGCAATAGCAGCATTGTCGGTCTGCCTGTGTCTCCCACGAGCTCCTGCCTGCAAGCTGCGTGCTTGGGCAAGCAGTTCGCTGACAGTCATTCACAAATATTTGTTCGCATCTTGGTTTTTGGGTTCCCCGGCTCTCCTTGTTTCCATGGATAAAGGCACACATTTTGTTCTTAAGGAAAACCTCCTGACCCTCTCACGAGCGAGGCCATTCGGATGTTGTTCGTGCAAGCGGATGCCAGGTGCCGGGCTGCCCTGTTCCTTCCAGGGGTTTCAGCCACCCGGCGTTGGTTCGCAATGGCGATGGCGATGTGTGGCCCACTTTCTTTTATGGGGGGGAAGGCAAAAGGAAAGCCACCATGTTAGTGGGTCCCCAACAAAGAGAGACCCATGCTTGTGGGTTGGCATTGTTTTTTGGTTCTTTTATTCCCTGTATTCCCCTGTTTGTTTTTTGTTCACGATGCGAGTGTCAGGTGTGGTCATGCTAGACGGGTGTTTGTTTTCTAGCGACTTATAGTTTTGGGAAGCCCATCTTGCGTGATAAGAGAATCAAGTTGAATCAAGCGTCCCTTAGGGGCCAAGTTGGAGGGATGGGCATCCCGCTGCGCAAGTGTTATCTTTCACAATGGCTCTTCAATATGGGTGTTGTAATTTTGTGGTTTTAAATGGAAACTTAAAGGACCAGGGTCCCCTTAAAAAGAGACACACCCATTTTTTGAGCGGCACCCGAGCGTTGCCTGTTGTTACTCTGCGGTATCCCCTTCAAAGTGTGCCAAATGGTGGCTTGGATTGGTGGTTTGGTGAAGGAAGGGCTTTCCGTCTACCCTCTGCAAAATAAAATGGGTGCGGATTTATTTGGGGATGTTTTTTCGTTTTTTTTTTTTTTTTTTTTTTTTTTTTAATTTTTTTCCGTTTTTCGTCCGGGCCAGCAAAGTGTCGTATTTTACAGCATTTTCTCGCGAAATTGACGCATTTCACTAGCTCGTCAACATCCCCAGCATCGTTTTCAACATCCCCCGCATGTCCGACCAACATCCCTAGCATCACCAACAAATGGTGGGTAACAAAATCCAAGAAAAACAGAGCGGGGTAGTGATGATTCAAACAGGGGTGCAATTAAATCTCTGCAAAAAGTCTAAAAAGTAGCGGGGAGGTTGCGGGGGGCGGCAGCCCCCCCCATGATGTTCGAAGAATTTGTAGAAAATCTAAAACGTAGCGGGGGGGTTGGGGGGGGGGGGCAGCCCCCATGATGTCGGAAGAAGTGGTGATTCAAGTAGGGGTGCAATGATTCAAGAAAGGGTGTGATAGAATTTAAAAGGCAGCGGGAGGGTTGGCGGGGGTGGCTTCCCCTATGATGTTCGAAGAAATGCATACATACAGACATACACGGACTACACAGATTACCTAAAATGTTGTATTTTGCAGCATTTTCTCGCGAAATTGGACGCTCGAAAAAGTGATGATTCAAACAGGGGTGCAATTCAATCTCTGCCGGGCCAGTAAAGTGTCGTATTTTACAGCATGTTCTCGCGAAATTGACGCATTTTACACTAGCCCGTCAACATCCCCCGCATGTCCCACCAACATCCCTAGCATCACCCACAAATCGTGTGACGGGGTCAAAGAAATGATGATTCAAGTAGGAGGGCATGTCAATCCCTGTAAAAAATATAAAAATAGCGGGGGGGTTGGGGGGGGCGGCAGCCCCCCCCACGATGTTGTTTGCAGAAGTGATGATTTGAATAGGGGTGCAATTAAATCTCTGCAAAAAGTCTAAAAAGTAGCGGGGGGGTTGGGGGGGGCGGCAGCCCCCCCCCATGATGTTCGAAGAATTGATGATTCAACTAGGGGTGCAATTAATTAAATCTCTGTAGAAAATCTAAACGTAGCGGGGGGGGTTGGGGGGGGCGGCAGCCCCCCCATGATGTCGGAAGAAGTGGTGATTCAAGTAGGGGTGCAATGATTCAAGAAAGGGTGTGATAGAATTTACAAGGCAGCGGGAGGGTTGGCGGGGGTGGCTTCCCCTATGATGTTCGAAGAAATGCATACATACAGACATACACGGACTACACAGATTACCTAAAATGTCGTATTTTGCAGCATTTTCTCGCGAAATTGGACGCTCGAAAAAGT